AAAGAAAGCGCAAACTGTGAGAGATACTAGCAACGACAGATTATGGCTTATCTCTGTTCAGCATATACGCAATAGATTTTTTAGTATATTAGTCAGTGATGGTATTATTATTTTGTAAAGTACTTTTTATTTGTTATATAATAGTATTGGATATTTGTAGCCTCTCATAATTGCAATTGTTCAATCAGAGCTTCTGATCATTCGCATAGTTGTAGATCACTCGGGGTCCAAAGGACTCGCATAATTAAATTGTAAATATGTTTGTAATAAATTTACCTTTCTTTAATATTCAACAAAAGTTATAAATTAATTCGCCATGATATAAATTATACGTAAGTGCATTATGCCAGTTCTGTGTATGTATAATGAGATGTGCAATAATAATTAATCAATTAAATAAAAAACCCATATCCGAATCTACGTGCAACTTTCATGTACACCTCTAATTATTTGATAATAATTTTTAGCCAAGTTTTAAATATTGTAAAGTTAAACAGCACTCGAACGAATGTTTTGATTCACGAACAATGGATCGTTCATCTTGTCTGTGTTTGGATCTATTTAACGGAATTTGTAAATAATTGTGCACGCGCGTAGATCAAATGATGTAAAAGAGAAAAGTCCGGGGTCTAATTTGGAAGATACAATTACAAAGGCTCGTAAATTAATCTACTTATTAGTTTTCTTTTGCAAATGAAAATTGCCCGATTTATGGGCACTGAGATATTAGCGCCACGTCACGGCGAATCTGTGAAACTAGTCGTTATCCTTATCGCACACTATAGTTCTCCTTCTCTACGAAGATGCTGCCATCTATGCTCGTGTTAGTCAATGTGGTTAAAAATAGGTTAAGTGCTGCCATCTCTCGGGCTCGCCAACATTTTCTATTCAAGTCCCCTTCGACAGATGACAGGACATAGCATATTCTGGTTACGTTTTCAAAAACTACCTGATTAAAACGCATATAGATGGCAGCATCTTCGTAGAAAAGAACTATAGCGTTCGACAAGGATAGCAATAACGGTTAGTTCCAGCGTTTTATCGCTACGCGGCATTAGTATTTCGGTACAAATTTAATCGAGCAAATTTTCATTTGCAAGAAAATTAATCAAAAGGATTGATTTTTGAACTTTTGTAATTTGATGTTCCACGTTAGACCCTAAGCCTTTTCTTTTATGTTTTAGTCAACACGTGAAACGTACGTGCAAACAATTGCAAATTCTGTTCAATATTTACATTTTAAAAATCTTAAAAGTTATTACATTTCCATAAATTATGAAACAATTTATGAAACATTAAATTTTTTGATTCATTTTAGAACACTTATTGTGTTCTAATATAATAGTATAATTCATAATGAAAACCAAAATAATCATGATTGCTATTAATAAAATAATATATATTTTTTTAATCCTTAGAAAGTTGGAAAATCTTTTTTTGAAAATAAAAGTAACGTATTTTGCGTTTAGGAAATTGTGATTTCACACAGGCTCGTACTTACAAAGAGTGAATAAGAGCATAAATAATGTTAGAATCACAAATGGTATAAAATAGTTGAAATATTTTAAAGATGAACTTCAAGTCTTTCACGCTTTAAAGTCGGACTACTGTATTAAGAATATATATACAAGAATTAATACAAAAACATGTTCCATCGAAGTTTCGTTTATTAACACAATTAAAAATATCACATATGAAATAAAGTAAGTCGATTTCGATTAAATACCTTGTATTTCTTTTTTATTATGAACATGTTTTACAAAGCAAAATTGTGTAATGGTGGATGGTGGTGGTGGAGGCTTGGAAACTACGGAATCGGTGTCTGGTGGGGACAATTTAACAAGACCATTGGAAAAGTGAGTGCGGGTAAAGGGACATCGGCACAGTAATATAAAAAGTACTCTTCAAGAGACAGCATGAGGAATTAGGCCGGCACATTCATCCATCATGTTTCTAAATACACAAGTACACTGCACTTTCATATGCATTTAAAACAACGAACGCATATGATTC